CTCCATTTCACCTAAGAATTTAAAAAAATTATACATAAATGATGCATGAATCACATTATCCATTCCCCCCTTTGATTCATAAATCACACTAAAAATCATACTAATATTGAAAAACCAATTTGAAAAATCATCAAATAATCCAAAATGATATTTATCCCTCAGTTCCACTTGTCCATCTTTATCCAGATCAGGAACAGTCCACACCGGCATCTGAGTGTTGTCTCCAGGCACCACTTCTCCAACCTATCTCAATCTCATAACTTTCTCAAAAGTCAGTACACACATCACACAGTGTTATCAAAACTTAAACTAGAATCTGACCCATCACTGCCCCTACTGGCCTAATTGATTTTGCAACCAAATCCTTTCAAATGCATCCCTTACAATGCATCCATAACCCCAGTGATATTATCTGAACTATCTGGACTCACAGTAATACACTAATATTTATCAATATTATCTTCCCAAATGTTACACCATACCATGACTGAAGTCCCCCCTTCTCCCTTAAACTTATTCTTCAATGATAGGCTTGAAGACTATGACATGTCGCCATGTGTCTGCTAAATGACCAAAATGTAAATGCAATGTCACCCTTTTAACCCCAGAGTTAGCTGTGTCCAATGCTATCCCTCTTATAATGGTAAAACCTCATATGGAAGCTTCAACGTTGACCTGTAACAACATCCTATCCCCCATAGGGTAAGAATATACTCTATCATAATTTCCCCTTATCCTCTAAAATTCCCATAGTCACATTGTCAGTCAAAAGCTAATCTTTTAACCATCAAAGTCCTGCTCTTCTTACTACCTGATATATAAAAAGTAACCTATTATTTGTCATTACTACCCTTAAGGTCATACTTATCCAAAGTTATCATCTAACATCCCAATCTGATCTTTCCATAAACATACCCCTTACCTCATATGTTTTATTAGAACAAACACCACTTTCATCCCTCAATATTTCACCTGAATACTTAAGGTTTCCACTGTTACCTGACTTCACATCTAACAATTCCCATAGGGTAATCCATTTACCCAAGAACACTTAAACCCTACTGTTTTGACAACAACATTATTTTATCTGTCAATGACTGTTGCCAATTCCACAGTTATGACAAAGCTCAAAACTGATCCACACCTGACAGAGGCTGCGCAACCGTCTAACAGGTCCTGGATGGAATTCTCAACAGACATGGACCCTCAAGATTCCTCACTGATTCCTACAGAATGAGTCAATCTATCTCTAATTTCCACAACAGAGGAACGAGCAGCACTGATCAGATGCCCCCCCCCTCCGTCATCAAAATCAAAAGACCCCATACTGCAGCTTCCATGATGAATCTCTATTCTCCATTTCAGATTAATCTATATTGTTTCTATCTGCTCTATTTTAACCCCATTCGTACCATAACCTCCTGAGTCCCTCTTGCTACCTCTTTAATTTCAGAACAATTGTTGTCAGTATCCTACTCCTATATTTGCTATTGCCATAGTATCATTAATCCCTTCCAAAGTTACCCTTAAAGTAGTTGATTTAGTTGATGAATTAAAACCCTTAATTCCTTCTAATGGAAAATCTACCCATATCCTATGTGTATTATCTACTGTTGGAGTGACTACTGTCCATTCAGTTCTACTCCTCCTGAACTCCCTCAATGACTGTGAAAACTTCCACAGACTTCAAATCTTCCATTATAAGCGTTACTTTATGAATTACATTGCCCTTTAACCAATAATTCCTAACCGAAACAAATTCTAATGTTTGCCCTAAATAAGTACACATATATTCTCCCTAACCTTTCTCTATAATATTACGCAACATAAGTGAACAGTCACTCCTAACCCTATTCCAAACTATACCTCCTTCTACTCCTGGTCCTGATAACAATACTTATTCTCCATATTTATCTCTCCATATGAGAGAAACGTCCCCATCTTAAACCCTAATAAGTATTTTTCCCCCTAAAATTGGTGCTGTACTGGTTCCCTTATAATCAAATGCAATATGTTTATGACTTTAATACCTATCAATGTTGAAAGAGTTAAATTGCTTCTCCCTGTTGTTCTAATAAACTGAAGTGTTAATGTCCTTATTTACTCCTAGTTTTCCCATAAGACTTTGAACTCCTTCCTTGTACTTCCATCTATCACCCCTAGTGTCACTTTTTCCCCCTTTCAGTTCTACCTCTAAACTTTAAACCTCCTGATTATAACAAAATACACCTATAATGACCTTGATCTCCCTACTGGACAGTGTCATTCATTACTGTTCTCTCTCTGTCTTACTACTAACTTTGAAACTTAGCTTACTGTCTCAGAGTCCCTTCAACCTAGCCTACCCCTAACTTATTTTAATCTAATCTTTTCTCTCATAACATTTAAAACCTTTTCCCCTGATCTATTGACAAAATCTCTTACCACCAAATTTTTAGAATATGTGATTGGGAAAGTTCCCCACCTGCTTCTGACTCATTACACACAGACTTGGCAAAACCGACTAAACACCTTTTAGCCTAACCTCAAATCTCTTAGTGTAAGAATGTAACCCAGAATAAACAGTCACCCCTATTAACTTTTCAGACAGACTGTCTGACAGTCGTCTAGTGGACATCTTATTGTACAATTCAATTCTCTTCCCAACACTACAATAACAGTATCTTCTAATATTAGTACTTTAAGAGTAAGTACTACCTCAAATCCCTATCCTAATTAGTTATCAATTAATGAGATGTTTAACCTCTTTAGGCTGAACACAAAGTTTTCCCCTATTCACTATCACTTCTAATTGTCGGTTGTTTCAACTGTTAGCTATTTTCTCTTCTTCTCTAATCAAGGCTCTCAGCAATGCACCCCTTCCGGATATTCTCGGCACTCTAGAATATTTAGTGTTCACCTGAAGCACCGGTGATCTTCACTTGCTCGTTGATCTTCCTCTGTTTCTTCTTCTCCAATTCTGTGTCTGTCCAGAAACTGACGATCGATATGGAACATCTGGTCCCCCCTTGGCTGGTACAATTGCCTTTGATATTGTTCAGTTGAAGCTGTAACAGTGATTGTTGATTTGATTCACTCTGATTCTTCATAACCAACACTTATTTTCTTCTTCTCCACCACCAGTTATAAGTTGTATTTGCTTGAGTTTTCTTCGTCCGGTTCTTCTCATCGTTGACATATCAGTATTCTTCAACCTTAGTTCCAAGTTCTGTCCTCGAAATATCATCTTCCATCATCTTCTTACTAGTGGGCTCTTCTTGACCTCAATGTGTTCTTCTTCAATTCTTGGGATTAAAAATGTTCTCCGCAGGTTTTCTCCTTGTCTCTTCTATATCTTCAGCGTCTCGAGCTGTTCCTCTAGCTCCCTTACCTCTCCCAAAGTCGTCTCTTCCTCCAGGCCTGATACGCCTCGGTCTATATCTCCTATTTCTTCTTTGCCAGTCATTGTAGGATAAAATCCTCTTGAACATACAACACCTTTAATCTCCTTCATCGTTGTTTCTGCTCGTATTCGTCTTCATCTCTGATGCCATAATCACCCTGCTAGATGATCATTGTAAGCTGAGAATAAACATCCCTAAGCTCTACTTTTTAAACCTATCTTATCGCTGACATATTTTATCAATTTTTGTTTGAGAATGAAGGGCAACTTTTGTTTCACTTGCCGGATAACCTAGCAACAAAGGATTACCCCTATTTCCACCCGTGAAATGACTCTCATAGTCCTGATATCTTTTTCCCCATTGTAACACCCTTTTATATTCCTTTATTGTGAACTATCTTATTCTAGACTGTATAAGTTATATAGGCTTCCCCCCTTAAATTATTAATATAACACCCTAACAACCTTCAAAAAATAAAAAAAAAAATAAAAAAAAAAAGAAAAATAAAAAAATATTTCCCTCCCAAAAAATTAAATAAATAAAATATGAATATTAAAAACATTCAATTAATGCCTTATTCAAAACCCTTTAATTAAAAATAAAAACCCTTAAAAACTCAATTAAAAATTATGATAATTTCAAAACCAATTTTTTATTCCTATATCACCAATTTATCAATTAGTGTTGAGTATATTACCACACCCATCAAATGCAAGTACTGCAAGTTAGTAATCTTCAGACTAAAATACCCCATAAACAAGCCCAACCTGCAATACTACAATACTCCAATTCCCATAACCCCTTGCTCCATTAGCTCTAATTGTCACGGTTCTGGCCCCAGGGTGCCTCTCCCTTGTTTGGGCAGGTTCGGCGTTTGTCGTCTCCGGAAATTTTAGCTGCCCCCGATTTATGGTTTTTTTGTTCGTTTGCTTTTTTCTGTTTGTGTCACACCTTTTTTGTTTTCGGGGTTTGGTCCTATAAATTTCTCGTTGTTTTTTCTTGTGTTTTGGGTGATTGTTTTCGTCAGTGTTTTGGGTTTTTTTTGCTCGGGTTAAAAAAGAAAAAAATTTTCTCCCCCCAAAAAATTAATAAATTTAAATTTAAAACATTTAAATCTTCCCTTTATTTAAAACCAAAAATCATAAAAATACCTTTCAAACCATGTTAATAACACCTTTAAAGCTTATTAAAAATATTTACCCATATTTAATCAATTTTTTTAAAATAAAACTCAGCCAACCTAAACAAAAAAATTACCCTTTTTCCACCCTGAAATTACTCTTTTGTCCGGTTCCCCCTTTTCCCTTGTCCTTGGGTCCTTCAATTCATGAAAGTTTAAAAGGTTTCCCCTTTTTTTTTTTCCTACAACTTCTAAAAAATTAAAAAAAAAAATTTTTCCCTTTTTTAAAAAAAATGATTTCTTCTTAAATTTTTCCCAAAACCTTTACTTTAAAACCCTTTTTCTCATTAAAATTTGTAATTTTTAACCCTTTATTTCCTTTCCTTTTCCTTGTGTGGTTTTCCCCCAAATAAGTTTAACATTGTTTTCGACTATATTTCCCAAAACAAACCCAACCCCCTAACACAAACCCAAACCCATAACCCGGCCAAGCCCAAATGAACGGTTCGGCCGAGGTGTCCTCCGTTCGGGCGGTTGGGGCGGCCCCGGGAATTAGTGCCACCGATTTGTTTCCACTTTCCCGCTGGGTCCCGTTCTGAGGATAGGCCCTTATTCTCGGGTTTCGGGGTGATGTTTCTCAGGGTTTGCTCGGTGGCTACTCCCACGCCGCCCGTGATTTTGCATACTATTTGCGCAGTTGTGGCCTTTCCCAAGTGGGCGTCTTTAGCTTTCTTCCGTTCCGGTTGGGGATACGGACAGGGGCGCGTCCTGTCTGTTCATCACCAAAACCCGCCCGACAGCACCACCACCATAAAAAGCAGGAGAGAAGCGCCCGAAAACCTAACCAGTCGGTCAGCAGGAGACCCCTGCAGGGGGAACCCCCTCGGAGTTCCACTCCGGGGGCTGGGGTAAAGATACACCGGGCCCAACCCCTCCCAGCCGCCGTTCCCCCGACTAGGAGCCGCTTTCCCCCGGGGCTTCGGGACGCGGGGGTAGGGGTTTGTCCAGGCGGCTTCCTGCCACAGTCAGGGCCAGGCATGAGGCGGCCCCTTCGGGGTCAAGTTCTGATTCCAACGCGAGTAAGGTCACGCACGCCATTACTACCCATTTCCCCGGTTAGGGCGGTGTTCGCATCCCCGGAGGGGAAAGGGGCGGGAGGTTTGTCTTCTTAGGCGGGGAGGGGTCCCAATTGTCAATCTTCACGGCAGATTGTTGGTACGGGCTCAGATTAGATGTAGCCTCAGGGAAGGGCGTGTCGGGAGCGCCTTGTCGGGGAGCGTTCACTTTCGAAGTGGTGACAGCAATTAGGTGGAAAGTTGGGAAACGGGGGGGGGTCAGGGGGCCCGTCCATCCACCCAGGAACGGGTGTCCTAGGGAAATCGGGGGGCGGCGAAGGTAGGAGGAGGGGAGAGGGGGGGCCCCCGCAAAATGGGGGGGCACACGCCCAGGGGGGGAGGCACCTCGGGAGTGCGAGGTGGCACTGGGGTTTCCCGGGAAGGGCCCCACATCACCCAGGTAGTTGCCTTTTAGCCGTTTTTTCCGCAGTGGACTTTCCGGTGGCCTGGGGTAGTTAGGCCGGGGCTGGAATTCAGGTGGTTGTTTGAGTAGTGTTTTTTGGTAAGTTGTTGGGTTACCCCCTTGTGCCTTGGGGGTTCGGGCAGGGGCCCACTAGATGTGTCCGGGGGGTCATCAGGAGAAAAGGCAATTTTTGATTGACTCTCCTGCGATACCGGTGGTGCTGGCATGCCCTGGTTAAGATACCCATAACCCCGTATTTCGTGGCAGGAGAGGGCTCTGAAGGAGTGGTCTGCTCAGTTGTGTGGGTAGATGTTTGGGCGTTTCCTTAGGGGCTACCTCGGTGGAAAGTCCAAACCAGGTGCCCGCATTGCAACATCCACTGAGTATGGGGATCTGGCTATCGCGTTTAGTAAGGCGAGTGGCGACGCGATTGCCACCCCATAGGCAGGGGGGATTGTGCGATAGACCTTCAGGCAGGAGCTGCGTCCCACGGAGTCATGTGTATCCTCTGTCTCAGGAGGAGAAGAAGAAAGCTATGGAGGTTTACATAGACGAATCACTGAGACAAGGATACATACGGCCGTCCACTTCCCCCGCGTCCTCGAGTTTCTTTTTCGTGAAGAAGAAGGATGGGGGGTTGCGTCCGTGCATCGACTACCGTGGTCTCAATCAGATTACGGTGAAGTATAGTTATCCACTCCCGCTGATTGCGACCATGACTGAGTCGTTGCATGGGGCGCGTTTCTTCACGAAATTAGATCTCAGGAGCGCGTACAACTTGGTGCGCATCAGGAAGGATGATGAATGGAAAACAGCCTTTAGTACCACCTCGGGCCATTACGAGTATCTCGTCATGCCATACGGGTTGATGAATGCTCCGTCAGTTTTCCAATCATTCGTGGATGAGATCTTCAGGGACATGCAGGGACAGGGAGTGGTGGTGTACATAGATGACATCCTCGTGTACTCACCTACCCGTGTCGAGCATGTGGCCCTGGTGCGCAGAGTGTTGCGGAGGCTGGTGGAGCACGACCTGTATGTGAAGGCAGAGAAGTGTCTGTTTTTCCAGGAGTCGATTTCCTTCTTGGGGTATCAGTTGTCTGCGTCAGGGGAGAAGATGGAGGTAGACCGAGTGTCAGCCGTGAGTAATTGGCAAACACCAACCACTGTGAAAGAGGTGCAGCAGTTTTTGGGGTTTGCGAATTACTACCGGAGGTTTATCCGGGGTTTTGGGCAGGTGGCAGCTCCCATCACGTCTCTCTTAAAGGGGGGCCCGGTGCGTCTGCAGTGGTCAGTCGAGGCGGACAGGGCTTTTAAGAAGCTGAAGGACCTGTTCACCTCGGCTCCGGTGCTGGCGCATCCGGATCCCTCTTTACCATTTCAGGTAGAGGTGGACGCGTCTGAAGCCGGTATTGGCGCCGTGCTGTCCCAACGGTCAGGCGCGCCACCTAAACTCCGCCCCGTTGCCTTCTATTCTAAGAAGCTCAGCCCGGCGGAGCGAAATTATGACGTAGGGGACAGGGAGCTGTTAGCTGTGGTCCAAGCCCTTAAGGTGTGGAGGCACTGGCTTGAGGGGGCTCAACACCCTTTCCTCATTTTGACGGACCACCGTAACCTGGAGTACATCCGGGCAGCGAGGAGGCTGAACCCTCGACAGGCTAGATGGAGTATGTTTTTGACCCGTTTCTCTTTTAAGATCACCTACATCCCTGGGTCACAAAACGGTAAGGCAGATGCACTGTCTCGGCGGTATGACGGGGAGGAGAGGTCCGTGGAGCCCACTCCCATACTGCCGGAGTCGTGTCTAGTGGCACCGGTGGTGTGGGAGCTCGATTCTGAGCTCGAGCGGGCATTACGCACCGACCCTAGTCCACCACAATGCCCGGAGGGTCGGAAGTATGTTCCGCTCGAGTGTCGGGATCGATTGATCTATTGGGCTCACACGTCACCCTCCTCTGGACATCCGGGTATCGGCCGGACAGTGCACTGTCTTAGTGCCAAATATTGGTGGCCTACGTTGGCCAGGGATGTGAGGGTTTATGTTTCCTCCTGCTCGGTGTGCGCCCAGTGTAAGGCGCCTAGACATCTGCCTAGGGGTAAGTTACTACCCCTGCCCGTTCCACAACGACCATGGTCCCACCTCTCGGTGGATTTTATAACTGACCTTCCCCTCTCTCAAGGGAATACTACACTCCTGGTCGTTGTGGATCGGTTCTCTAAGGCCTGTCGTTTGCTCCCCATGCCGGGTCTTCCTACTGCCCTACAAACCGCCGAAGCACTATTCACGCATGTGTTCCGGCACTACGGGGTGCCCGAGGACATTGTGGCTGACCGGGGTCCCCAATTCACCTCCAGAGTCTGGAGAGCTTTTATGGAGCGGTTGGGGGTCTCGGTGAGTCTCACCTCGGGTTACCACCCGGAGAGTAATGGGCAGGTGGAACGCGTAAACCAGGATGTGGGCAGGTTTCTCAGAACATACTGCCGGGACCGGCCGGAGGAGTGGGCGAGATATGTGCCCTGGGCTGAGATGGCACAGAACTCTCTTCGCCACTCCTCCACCCAACTAACCCCTTTTCAGTGTGTTTTAGGGTACCAGCCGGTTCTGGCACCATGGCATGAGAGCCAGATCGAGGCCCCCGCTGTGGATGAGTGGGTGCGGCGCTCGGAGGAGACGTGGAACGCTGCACACGTCCATCTGCAGCGTGCCATACGTCGACAGAAGACGAGCGCCGACCTACACCGCAGTGAGGGGCCTGTGTACGCACCTGGAGATCGAGTCTGGCTCTCTGCCAGAAACCTGCCCCTCCGCCTGCCCTGTCGGAAACTGGGTCGGCGGTTTGTAGGGCCATTTAAAGTCCTGAGAAGGTTGAACGAGGTTTGTTATAGATTACAGTTGCCAGTGGAGTATAAATGTATTAACCCCTCGTTCCATGTGTCCCTTCTCAGGCCGGTGGTAGCAGGCCCGCTCCAAGAACATGAGATCTTGGAGACCCCCCCCGCCCCCATTGGACATCGAGGGGGCACCGGCGTACACCGTGAGATCCATCTTGGATTCTAGACGTCGGAGAGGGGGTCTTCAGTATCTAGTGGAGTGGGAGGGGTACGGTCCGGAGGAGCGGTGCTGGGTGCCGAGGAGAGACATCTTGGACCCGTCGCTCCTGACGGAATTCCATCGGGGGTATCCGACGCGCCCTGCGCCGCGGCCTCCGGGTCGTCCCCAAGGCCGGAGTCGGCGCGCGTCTGGAGCCGCGCGTCAAGGGGGGGGTACTGTCACGGTTTCGGCCGAGGCTGCCTCTCTCCCTTGTTCGGGCAGGCTTCGGCGTTCGTCGTCTCCGGAATTCTAGCTGCCACCGATTTATGTTTTCATGTTCGTTTGCTTTTGTCTGTTTGTGTCACACCTGTTTCTGTTTTACGTGATTAGTGTCCTATAAGTTTCTCGTTGTGTTTGTCTTGTGTTGTGTGTGATTGTTTTCGTCAGTGTTGTGTTTGCTCGGTTGAGCATATTTCTCTCCACTGCGCTGGAGCTCGTTTGCACTTGTTTCGTGCACTACATATTTTGTCGCACCTGTTTTGTGCGCATTTTGCCTACACGCCTTGGGCGTAGTTTAGCTGTTGGGCTTTGTTGCCCTGTTGCCTGTGTTTTGGGTCGGAATACAGCTTTTGGAACCTACCGTCTGCGTCCTGCATCTGATTTCCTACACCACACCTACACACGCCCTGACACTAATTATCATAAATTTACAGAAGAATCCTCAATCCATCCTGGATTCCCAACACATCTGTAATTAAACCCCAGTGATGCACATAGCCTCCAAAATGCAATTTTTAATGAATCAGTTTGCCACGCCTATGCGAAATGGTCATAACATCACATATCCTGTTAGGGAAAGATTTTGTAACCATAATCAGTACCAAAACCTTTTTTTTTTTTTTTTTTTTTTGACTTGATCCTCTGCCACGTGACGTGATCACTTCCTGTATCTCCTCGCTCCTCTCACTTAGCGTTCCTCTCATATGACAGAAGAACAAAGACACAACATAACATTTTAGTCGTTAATGCAGTCACTGAGTATTTCCAACCATTCAATATTCGTTCGTTCTACATTATTCACTCTAAGACTAAACTCAGAATTAAATAGATCGCTCAAAAACCCTTTTTTTATTTTTTATTTTAATCCGTTATTTAATTATTTAATTCAATCTATTATAATCCGTTATCCTATATTTAATTTAATTCAATGCATTATACTTCGTCAACATATATTTAATTTATAAATTCAATAGGTCCCAAAACAAGTTTCATCTTAATCCACCGCCGTTTAAACTAGAATCATCGTGTTAAAATTTCTCCTCTGTCTATTTTCCCTTGCAGGGTAACGCCAAATGGGACCTATGACCTTAAGCCACCATTTTGTTTTGTAGGCTTAGCCAACCTCATTTTGTAGTTTTTATCCCCGTAAAATCAACACGTGTCCTAATCTCGTGTCATAACCTCCCCTTTCTGTAGGGTAGTATCGCAAAATTAAACGCATGCGCACAACCATTCAAGCCCATGCTTACTACAAAATAGAACGCCAGCATCCTACCTCAGTTTCTCTATTTTACACTTATAGCCAGACAATAACACAACATAACTCACATTTACGCAGAACTTTCAGTTCCACCTACATACAAACAAGTTTAAGAGGCTTGAATCCATCGCAGTGGACCCCTAAGGATATCCGTTAGCATGTAACACGCAACACAATTAGCATCTAGCTTAGCCCAAGGTACACTGACACAACACACAATTAGCATGTAACATTAGCATCCACCTCAGCCACCATAGCAACGAGGCACCACGTAGCCTAAACCAATCCAGCCCTAGCTTCAGCCTCTAGCCAACTGCGACCTACTACACAAATGAACATCCCGCATTGCACCTTTAATTGATTACTGTTTCCTTTGCCCTAAATTTATTCTGCCGTGGGTATGGCTATTTCAGTGAGCGACCCTCCCCAATGCAACTATCCCGTCGAACAGAGGTTGAGTAAGCAATCCCCAAGAAATTTTCAACCAACCCCCAGTCCCAGACTGAACCTGAACACTCATAATGCATGTCCAGGATTTTGGCCCACCCTGGTGGTCGCCCCGTTCGTTACGAGGTCTTATCTAAACCACTGCAATGCTCTAAAGAATGCGCATATCTGAATTTACCCATCATTGCCATCCGTTACCAATGAAATATAAACTTATCACTCTAAATCCTACAGTTTAATGCTCTAAATTCCAATTAACTGTCGTTTCCGATGAAATAAATTTAGCAGACTTCAGTCGACCAGCAACAAACACCACCTGAGGCCAGGTCATATGGAACATCCCCTCAATGTACACAAGTCATATCCAATCTACCAAACTCCGAAGCGGTAAGAACACACTCACCCTTTTTCGGCCATGCTTCAGAGAGAGTTAGGCCGGCGGTTGACTGAAACAAAGAGGAGACGCAAACCCATGCCCCACGTTGGGCGCCATTATGTCGTATATGATGAATGGTGGTAATATTGCTGATGAACAAAAAGTCCGTTATGCTGCATCGTGTCAGAAGTTTTTATTCATACCACGAGGTTACAGCATAAATTCACAGACACGCGTTGCCTGGAGAACGCCTCCCAGATTGTTATGGCCGTTCTGTCGTCTCATCGTTTAACTCCTATTTATAAACAATGCAAAGGGAGGGGCTACTCCCTCTTCTGGCCAATCACCAGTCTCCCCTCGGGCGTCACCCTCCAAGCGGCACATTTCAAATAACATCATAAAACCTCCCCCCTCTGGCCTGAACCAACATTCCATTTCGTCATGAAAAACATTTAACAAAGACATAATCTTCAGATACGATAAGAGCTCAGGTGCATTTTGCAGCATATTATAACATTCAGTGAATGGATACAAAGTGCCATCTTGAGTTGATGGGTAGGCTACAGTCTGGGATCTGGGAATAATAGTCATTTCAATTATTGAACCATTGATTCTATTCTTGGATAATATAATGTATAAATGTACACCAAGGTAATTCTTTGTCTTGCCTCATCTGAGCAGGATCAGATGGTGACAGGTGTCTCAGCAGGGTCAGGCAACCAGGGAAGATCAGTCTGTGACAGCACTGAGGATGCAACACTCTTCTCTCTGTACAGCAAAAACTCGACAAGCCAGAAGCTTCAAAGATTGAAACTATTTTAAGGCAGTCTGACAAACCTCTAAAGTTTCCAAACTGGGTTGATAGAGGCTTTTCCCGATGACACAAAACATGTAAAACAAATATTTGTGGGAGACACTATTGATGATGATGAATGGATACAGATATTTATGAATGCCCAGTCATGTTCATATAATCTCAGACATAAATTACGGCAGTTTAAGAAACTGAATATCATGCACTCAGAAATGTAGTTCCTCTGCTGGAGGTGTAAAACACAAAAGGGACACATTTGTATATGTTATGCTCTTGTGAAGGCTGGCTGAATTCTGGCAAAGAGTATGTTATTTTATCTCAGCATGTCTACAGATTCTCCCTTCTCCCTGTTTTTGTTTGCTTGGAAATGTTAATACTGGAGACTTATCAGAAGAAACTGTGTAACCTAGCATTTATAGCGGCTAAGAAATGCATTGCCATTAATTGGAAGGTTGGATATTCTCCCACAATGTAACAATGGTTGGCAGAAATGTCAAGTTACAGTTGAAGTCGGAAGCTTACATACACCTTAGCCAAAAACATTTAAACTCAGTTTTTCACAATTCCTGACATTTAATCCTTGTAAAGATTCCCTGTCTTAGGTCAGTTAGGATCACCACTTTATTTTAAGAATGTGAAATGTCAGAATAATAGTAGTATTTATTTCAGCTTATATTTCTTTCATCACATTCCCAGTGGGTCAGAAGTTTACATACACTCAATTACTATTTGGTAGTATTGCCTTTAAATTGTTTAACTTGGGTCAAACGTTTTGGGTAGCCTTCCACAAGCTTCCCACAATAAGTTGGGTGAATGTTGGCCCATTCCTCCTGACAGAGCTGGTGTAACTGAGTCAGGTTTGTAGGCCTCCTTGCTCGCACACGCTTTTTCAGTTCTGCCCACAAATGTTCTATAGGTTTGAGGTCAGGGCTTTGTGATGGCCACTCCAATACCTTGACTTTGTTGTCCTTAAGCCATTTTGCCACAACTTTGGAAGTATGCTTGGGGTCATTGTCCAGTTGGAAGACCCATTTGCGACCAAGCTTTAACTTCCTGACTTGATGTCTTGAGATGTTGCTTCAATATATCCACATAATTTTCCTTCCTCATGATGTCATCTATTTTGTGAAGTGCACCAGTCCCTCCTGCAGCAAAGCACCCCCATAGCATGATGCTGCCACCCCCGTGCTTCACGGTTGGGATGGTGTTCTTCGGCTTGCAAGCCGCCCCCTTCTTCCTCCAAACATAACGATGGTCATTATGACCAAACAGTTCTATTTTTGTTTCATCAGACCAGAGGACATTTCTCCAAAAAGGACAATCTTTGTCCCCATGTGAAGTTGCAAACCGTAGTCTGGCTTTTTTATGGCGGTTTTGGAGCAGTGGCTTCTTCCTTGCTGAGCGGCCTTTCAGGTTATGTCGATATAGGACTCGTTTTACTGTGGATATAGATACTTCTGACCTGTTTCCTCCAGCATCTTCACAATGTCCTTTGCTGTTGTTCTGGGATTGATTTGCACCAAAGTACATTCAACTCTAGGAGACAGAAAGCGTCTCCTTCCTGAGCGGTATGACGGCTGCGTGGTCCCATGGTGTTTATACTTGCATACTATTGTTTGTACAGATGAATGTAGTACCTTCAGGCGTTTGGAAATTGCTCCCAAGCATGAACCAGACTTGTGGAGGTCTACAATTGTTTTTCTGAGGTCTTGGCTGATTTCTTTTGATTTTCCCATGATGTCAAGCAAAGAGGCACTGAGTTTGAAGGTAGGCCTTGAAATACATCCACAGGTACATCTCCAATTGACTCAAATGATGTCAATTAGCCTATCAGAAGCTTCTAAAGCCATGACATCATTTTCTGGAATTTTCCAACTTCTGACCCACTGGAATTGTGATACAGCGAATTATAAGTGAAATAATCTGTCTGTAAACAATTGTTGGAAAAAGTACTTGTGTCATGCACAAAGTAGATGTCTTAACCGACTTGCCAAAACTATAGTTGGTTAACAAGACATTTGTGGAGTGGTTGAAAAACAAGTTTTAATGACTCCAACCTAAGTGTATGTAAACTTCTGACTTCAACTGTATGTATCACTAGATTTGATTTATTACAAGATTAAGGGTGTACTGTGCAACTTTCATAAGGTCTGGATGCCTCTGGATGCCTTATATGGAATGCTGTAAGACGAAAGGAGTCTGTATTGAAAACATGCCCACGTCAGGGAGATACCTATTTAGGTCATCCCTAGCTTCTGGGCCGCTCAGTCCTGGCCCTGGGGGTCTGCCGTCCTGTGGGTTGTCACTCTGGCCTTGGCCTTACACACCTGAAATCAATAATGAATGTTTCACTAAGATCCTAAAGCTGAGTGGGGTGTGTTGGGGCACTGCAGGGCGGTGGACCCCTAGGGGCAGGACGGGGTGGTCCAGCTATATTGTGTGCAAGTAAAAACAGTACTACAGTACTATTAGGCCTGTGATATGAATGACAGTGCCCTCTGTAATTTTTTCTTCTTTTGGCTCTATTCTCCAAAAGTTTGGATTTGAAATCTAACCATGACTATGAAGTTAAAGTTCAAACTATCAGCTTTCATTTGGCTGTGTACTCCAGTACTTTGGATTTGAAATGGTACAATCACTATGAGGTTGAAGTGCAGACTGTCAGGTTTATTTTGAAGGTATTTTCATCCATATCAGGTGAACCGCTTAGAAATTACAGCACTGTTTGTACATAGTCCCCCTATTTTAGGGGAGCAAAAGTATTGGGACAAATACACTTGTATGTGTATTAAAGTAGTAAAAAGTTAAGTATTTAGTCCCATATTCATAGCACGCAATGACTACATTAATCTTGTGACTCTACAAATGGGATGCGTTTGCTGTTTGTTTTGGTTGTGTTTCTGATTATTTTGTGCCCAGTAGAAATGAATGGTAAATTATGTATTTTGTCATTTTGGAGTCACTTTTATTGTAAATAATTATATAATATGTTTCTAAATAACCCCCCCAAAAATACTAACCTCCCCTTTTATGATATTAACAGGGGAGGTTAGTCTTTTTTGGGGGGGTATGATAATAATAATTAATAATATGCCATTTAGCAGATGCTGTTATCCAAAGCGACTTACAGTCATGCGTGCATAATTATTTTTATTTTTTTGTGTATGGGTGGTCACGGGGATCGAACCCACTACCTTGGCATTACAAGCGCCGTGCTCTACCAGCTGAGCTACAGAGGACGCACAGGATATTTGTGCGTCTGTAACTTTGTTACTCATCATTATTCACGATTCATTCAGGACTATCCATAATCATGGTAGCGTTCACATTCATGTAGAAGTGTTTAGAAACACATGATGTTCTTATTTACAATAAAAGTTAGATTGTGTAGAAATACAGGAAATTATCTTTAGATGCCCAAAAACAATCAGAGGGAGGACAACCAGACCCCCCACCAGGTTATGTCCCCCCCTCCACTTCTAAAACCAAAGTTGCGCCCCTGAAATTACCATCATTTTGTATGCAATTGTTCACAGAATAACCATATGTTGTGTGCTCACTACGCCCACTGAGACTTGGAAAAGCATAGCACAGTTTATTAGGCTACAGATCTAATAATTTATGATGATCTTCACAGGGTGGTGAAAGTGCACAGTGATGAGCTTGATGCTAATTTTCTATAAATATTGAGGGTCTTAATTGTATGCTGGTGACATGATGATCAGTGCTTGGCTGCCATTTTTATTGACAAATAAAAATGATCTCGCTCCTATCCATAATATCATCATGTACCCTCTGCACTGTATCTGCAAGCTGTTGGTTAGAGCACATGTGCCAATACCATAGTGGCCACATTTACTGTTAGTTGCAATGTTTTTTGTGCCAAAAATATCAACAGAGTTAAATATGGGATGGAAACACATAGAACTTCTGTTTTTTATTCGGTGAATGAAAAGTTATAAGACAAAGTGCTTTTTATGTGGACTACGTCATTATGAACAGCTTTGTAATCGCAACAATCCAGTTTGATGGAAACACACCACTGACAATAACATTTGCATATTTTTGTGTGCAAATATTGATATATTCTCTTAAATCTTTCGACAAAAAGATTGAATGTTTACTGAGCCAAGCCTAAGCCCTATTGGTAATTACAATGGTAATTGTACACTGCATGAAGGGGTATACGTACAGTATGCACATGTTTATATGACGTATATACCTGGGTCCCATAGAATTTGTGCTTAATTTAGGAGGAGAATTTGGCTGTGTTAAAGGATGGCGCTTCAGAGAAAGATGCTGAGCAGAGCCTAAGCCCTATTGGTAATTACAATGTCAATTGTATATATATGCACATGTTAATACCAGGTATACACCTGTGTCCCACAGACTTTGTGTTAGTTTGGGAAGAGAATTTAGCTGTGTTGAAGAATGGCGCATCAGAGAAAGACAAGTCAAGTCACGCCACCCAAGACTCACACAGGAAGTGGAGGAAAGATTTCCTGTCAAGACTTCAAGCAGCCGGCATTGACCAGGAGATGGTGAGCGAGGAATAAGGGAAAGGGTCGTTTACATTTACTAGAGCCCTGAGTTTTATGACCAGACTAGGAAAAACTCTGAGCCCTAGTTATAGCCCATAGTTATTAGCCTATGACCAGGGCCCAGAGTGTTTCCTGATCAGGTCATGTAATCCGGAAAAACTCCTGCCCCAATAAACGACACATCACCCATGATAAACAACTGCTCCCATACCAGTCATGGTTCCTCTCTGAGCTGCACGCTCCAGGATTCAGCTAGAAAGAGAAAGACTTTATCAATATTTACACGGCTTCCAGAGAGCTTGTCTTACAAGTAATTAATTTAGCCCTTTCTACTTGGTGCTTGAATCAACAAGCTACCACATACACTACCAGTCAAAATGTGTATTATTTTTTACATTGTAGAATAATAGTGAAGACATAAACTATGAAATAACACATTTGGAATCATCTAGTAAACAAAAAGGTGTTCAAAGTATATTACAAATCAAAGTATATTTTATATTTGAGAATCTTCAAATAGCCACCCTTTGCATTGATGACAGCTTTGCACACTCTTGGAATTCTCTCAACCAGCTTGGTAAAATAGCCCTTACACAGCCTGGAGGTGTGTTGGGTCATTGTCCTGTTGAAAAACAAATGATAGTCCCACTAAGCCCAAACCAGATAGAATGGCGTATCGCTGTAGAATGCTGTGGTAGCCATGGTTACTACATGATTCCATATGTGTTATTTCATAGATTTTATGTCTTCACTATTATTCTACAATGTAGAAAATATTAAAAATAAAGAAAAACCCTGGAATGACTAGGTGTGCCCAAACTTTTGACTGGTACTGTATATACTGAACAAAAATATAAACGCAACATGTAAAGTGTTGGTCCCATGTTTCATGAGCTGAAATAAAAGATCCCAGTACTGTTCCATACGCACAAAAAGCATATTTCTCTCAAATATTGTGCATACATTTGTTTACATCCCAGTTAGTGAGCATTTCTCCTTTGCCAAGATAATCCATCCACCTGATAGCTGTGGCATATCAAGAAGATGATTAAACAGCATGATCATTACACAGGTGCACTTTGTGCTGGGGAAAATAAAAGACCACTCTAAAATGTGCAGTTTTGTCTCACAACACGATGCCACAGATGTCTCAAGATTTGAGGGAGCGTGCAATTGGCATGCTGACTGCAGGAATGTCCACCAGAGCTGTTGTTACCATAAGCCGCCTCCAATGTCGTTTTAGAGAATTTGGCATTACGTCCAACCGGACTAAAAACCGCAGACCACGTGTAACCACGCCAGCCCAGGACCTCCACATCCGGCTTCTTCACCTGCAGGATTGTCTGAGCCCAGCCACCTGGACAGCTGATGAAAAGGAGGATTATTTCTGTCTGTTATAAAGCCCTTTTGTGGGGAAAAACTCATTTTGATTGGCTGGGCTTGGCTCCCCAGTGGGTGGGCCTGGCTCCCAAGTGGATGGGCCTATGCCTTCCCAGGCCCACCCATGGCTGCACCCCTGCCCAGTCATGTGAAATCCATAGATTAGGGCCTAATGAATGTATTTCAATTGACTGATTTCCTTATATGAACTGTAACTCAGTAAAATCTTTAAATTGTTGCATGTTTTGTTATATTTTTGTTCAGTATAATATCGGTGCATAATACCATATAATTATATTATACAAACAATGTAAAAAGTGTGATAAACGTTTAGTTTGTATTACGCTATAATATTTTTATCGTCCAGCATCAGTGGAAATAAATCATTGGTGTATCCAATAAACATGCATAGTCAGTGATTTCTGTTTTCCTTTTTGGTTCTCCGCTAGAGGGAAGTTCTTCAAGCTAAGAAGAAAATCTCCTATGTGCTCCTGAGCGCCCCCTGGAGTGTCCTTTGCTACTACGCTGAGGAGATCAGTCTCCGGGTCCCTCTGCAGGTCAGTCAGTCAGTTGACTCAGTTCTTGTGTTTCTACTCTCCTGTCACGTCAAAGGAGTTTAAGACCTTAGGTGTTAGGGTCAATTCAGCTTTCAATTCAGTCAATTCAGGAATTGAATTGAAATCGAATTAATCAATTGAAAAAAAATGCACATAGAAACGTTGAGTTCATGAATGAATTTCAATTCACTAGCCAACCCTCCTCCTGGAGAACTACTGAACAGGCTTTTGCTCCAGTCATGTTCTAACACACCAGATTCAGCTAATCAAGGTCCAGTTGATAGAACAGCAACTGGGTAAGCAAAAGCCTTCATACACAGTAGCTCTCCAGGAGGAGGGTTGGTCACTCTTGCTTTAGGGTGCTTAATCTCACATGTTGACAAAGTTAAACAAATGAGACACAAGGACATAACGGTGCTGCATATTCCTCAGATGGTAACCACACCAAACTACAACTGGTCAGAGAGGATGCTAGAGAAAACAAAAATCCCAAACCTCATGAGCCAAGACGTGCCCAACCTGCCCCCAGACTATTACACCTGCCAGTTTCGCACCAACAAACTGGAGAGGTATGTTAAAATCCTAAATGCTTTGCTTAGCAGCTGCTATCATTCAAACCACACTAAATTCTTTGCATTTCCACAATTAAATATCTTCCTGAAACAATTAAATTAAAACACCTGACTTGGGGGGTAAAAACTGTATGACCTTTTTGGATTTTCCCAGCAAGATACTAGTCCAGTTTTAAAACCACTTTACTGGTTTTGTACAAAGAAAACCACTTCTATAAAGTATTATTCCCTCAGGCTATGCTGTTTTGCCCGAAGGTGAAAAGGCATGATGTGTACATTCAGGCTTAAAGGGTGTAAAATGCATGGGAAATAAACACTGGCAGTGGCTTGGAGGTGACCCAGCCTCAACATTGAGTCTAAACACACAGTGTTGCGTTTGAGTTGCAGGTGTTGCTACAGAGAGGTGGGATCTAGGCAACAGAGGAGTATATCCAATATTTAACTTCAAAGCCTGCAATATGCATACAGTATGTATGACCACCTGGCTGTGTCTACAGGTTTCTGGGCAGTGAGAATAAGAAGACGTTCTTCAAAACTACCCAAAGACACCAAGTAGTGAGTTTGCCATTTCAACTTGATTCTTCAACTTGGATCAGTATCTTGCAGTAAAAGTATCACCAATAAGGTATTTCAAGGAAACACAGCCATTCACACACATGTGGATCTCTCTACTCTTATGGTAACTCTCTATCTGAGCTCAGGGTTGAGTTCATTAGGGCAGGCAATGGAAAACATTTCAAAGCATTTTGCAACGGAAAAATAAATTAAACAGTTATTGGTAGTCGCTCCCTGTTTCCGTCCGTTTTCTTCCATTTGGTGCCCAATGAACACTACCCTGATTTACTAGTCAGATCCCAGATACAAAGAGGAGGTCATAATGGACATGTGATAAACACATCTGATGTATTTGACACTACAGTAGTAGAATAATAGACTTCCTCACTTTGACAGTACAACACATTCCTTTGTCTGACCTAGCTGTATGAGATTTTAGCACGGACGCCTTATGGGGCATTAAAAAGAGGAGAGGTGGGAATCGAAAGGCTGCTCAGCGAGAATGCCTTCTCTGCTGCTTACCCCCTGCATGAGGTTAGTGTCCTCCATAGACATACCATATGTTCTGTATATATAATGTATGTACTGTATGTACTGTATGTATGCATGTACAGTATATTCGGAAAGTATTCAGACCCCTTTACTTTTTTCACATTTTGTTACGTTACAGCCTTATTCTAAAATGGATTTTTTTAAATGATCCTCATCAATCTACACACAATACCCCATAATGACAAAGCAAAAACACGTTTTTTACATACAGTTGAAGTCAGAAATTTACATACACGTTAGACAAATACATTTAAACTCAGTTTTCACAATTCCTGTCATTTAATCCTAGTAAAAATTCCCTGTCTTAGGTCAGTTAGGATCACCAGTTTATTTTAAGAATGTGAAATGTCAGAATAATAGTAGAGAGAATTATTTATTTCAGCTTTTATTTCTTTCATCACATTCCCAGTGAGTCAGAAGTTTACATACACTCAATTAGTATTTGGTAGTATTGCCTTTAAATTGTTTACTTTGGGTCATACGTTTTGGGTAGCCTTCCACAAGCTTCCCACAATAAGTTGGGTGAAATTTGGCCCATTCCTCCTGACAGAGCTGGTGTAACTGAGTCAGGTTTGTAGGCCTCCTTTGTCGCACACACTTTTTCAGTTCTTCCCACAAATATTCTATAGGATTGAGGTCAGGGCTTTGTGATGGCCACTCCAATACCTTGACTTTGTTGTCCTTAAGCCATTTTGCCACAACTTTGGAAGTATACTTGCGGTCATTGTCCATTTGGAAGACCCATTTGCGACCAAGCTTTAACTTCCTGACTGATGTCTTGAGATGTTGCTTCAATATATCCACATAATTTTCCTTCCTCATGATGCCATCTATTTTTTGAAGTGCACCAGTCCCTCCTGCAGCAAAGCACCCCCACAGCATGATGCTGCCACCCCCGTGCTTCACGGTTGGGATGGCTTTCTTCGGCTTACAAGCATCCCCCTTTTTCCTCCAAACATAACGATTGTCATTATGGCCAAACAGTTCTATTTTTGTTTCATCAGACCAGAGGACATTTCTCCAAAAAGTACGATCTTTGTCCACATGTGCAGTTGCAAACCGTTGTCTGGCTTTTATATGGTGGTTTTGGAGCAGTGGCTTCTTCCTTGCTGAGCGGCCTTTCAGGTTATGTCGATATAGGACTCGTTTTACTGTGGATATAGATACTTTTGTACCTGTTTCCTCCAGCATCTTCACAAGGTCCTTTGCTGTTGTTCTAGGATTGATTTGCACTTTTCGCACCAAAGTACGTTCATCTCTAGGAGACAGAACGCGTCTCCTTCCTAAGCGGTATGATGGCTGCGTGGTCCCATGGTGTTTATACTTGCGTACTATTGTTTGTACAGATTAACGTGGTACATTCAGGCGTTTGGAAATTGCTCCCAAGGATCAACCACACTTGTGGAGGTCTACAATTATTTTTCTCAGTTATTGGCTGATTTCTTTTGATTTTTCTATAATGTCAAGCAAAGAGGCGCTGAGTTTGAAGGTAGGCCTTGAAATACATCCACAAGTACACTTCCAATTGACTCAAATGATGTCGATTAGCCTATCAGAAGCTTCTAAAGCCATGACATCATTTTCTGGAATTTTCCAAGCTGTTTAAAGGCACAGTCAACTTAGTGTATGTAAACTTCTGACCCACTGGAATTGTGATACAATTAATTATAAGGGAAATAATCTGTCTGTAAACAATTGTTGGAAAAATTACTTGTGTTATGCACAAAGTAGATGTCCCAACCGACTTGCCAAAACTATAGTTTGTTAACAAGAAATTTGTGGAGTGGTTGAAAAACCTAAGTGTATATAAACTTCCGACTTCAACTGTAAGTATTCAGACCCTTTACTCAGTACACCTTTGGCAGCGATTACAGCCTCGAGTCTTCTTGGGTATGATGCTACAAGTTTGGCACACTTGTATTTGGGGAGTTTCTCCCATTATTCTCTGTAGATCCTCTCTGTCAAGTTGGATGGGGAGCGTCGGTGCACAGCTATTTCAGGTCTCTCCAGAGATGTTCGATCGGGTTCAAGTCCGGGCTCTGGCTGGGCCACTCAAGGACATTCAGAGACTTGTCCCGAAGTCACTCCTGCATTGTCTTGGCTGTGTGCTTAGGGATGCTGTCCTGTTGGAAGGTGAACCTTCGCCCCCCAGTCTGAGGTCCTGAACGCTCTGGAGCTGATTTTCGTCAAGGATCTCTCTGTACTTTGCTCCGTTCATCTTTCCCTCAATCCTGACTAGTCTCCCAGTCCCTGCCGCTGATAAACATCCCCACAGCATGATGCTTCCACCACCATGCTTCACCGTAGGGATGATGCCAGGTTTCCTCCAGACGTGACGCTTGGCATTCAGCGCCAAAGAGTTCAATCTTGGTTTCATCAGACCAGAGAATCTTGTTTCTCATGGTCTGAGAGTCCTTTAGGTGCCTTTTGGCAAACTTGAAGCGGGCTGTCAGGTGCCTTTTACTGAGGAGTGGCTTCCGTCTGACCACTCTACCATAAAGGCCTGATTGGTGGAGTGCTGCAGAGATGGTTGTCCTTCTGGAAGTTTCTCCTATCTCCAAAGACGAACTCTGGAGCTCTGTCAGAGTGACTATTGGGTTCTTGGTCACCTCCATGACCAAGGCCCTTCTCCTCCGATTGCTCAGTTTGGCCGGGCGGCCAGCTCTAGGAAGAGTCTTGGTGGTTCCAAACTTCTTCCATTTTAAGAATGATGAAGGCCACTATGTTCTTGATTACCTTCAATGCTGCAGAAATGTTTTGGTAGCCTTCCCCAGATCTGTGCCTCGACACAATCCTGTCTCGGATCTCTACGGACAATTCCTTCGACCAGGAAGGAATGGCTTGGTTTTTGCTCTGACATGCACTGTCAACTGTGGGACCTTATATAGACAGGTGTGTGCCTTTCCAAATCATGTCCAATCAAATGAATTTACCACAGGTGGACTCCAATCAAGTTGTAGAAACATCTCAAGGATGATCAATGGAAACAGGATACTGAATATTGTGTAAATAAGGTAGATATATATATTTTTTTATACATTTGCATAAATGTCTAAAAAACTGTTTTTGCTTTGTCTTTTCTGTGGTATTTCTGGGGTATTGATGAGGATTTTTTAAATTTAAACCATTTTAGAATAAGGCTGTAACGTAACAAAATGTGGAAAAAGGGAAGGGGTCAGAATACTTTCCAAATGCACTGTATGTATGTACAGTATGTATGTGCATATGATTTCATTACTCCCACACCCAGGGATCTTCTGATAAACAAAACTCTAAATATCACTAATCTTATAAATCGGACCCTGTAATATTAAATCTAACATGAATCTGGACTGTAACCAGAGGTGTCATGCCCCTAATGTTTTTGAGGGTACTCTGATGACCAAAGTCAATGTCTTTGGATTATTTCTGTATAAAATAAACTGTATTTGAAATGTATGTCATAATATTGTCAGAAACGGGACATAAATGTTGTGACGTCTCATGTCACTGAATGTCAAGTCACATTGGGAATGGCACCTTTGACTCTGACTGTAACCCCAAACCTGAATAGTTAGCCACCATCTGCCTCTGTCCTCTGATGTCCCTGCAGGGTCCATTTGAGATGCCAGATGGGGAAGCGGTGGACTCCCAGTCCTTGAGCATGAGGCAGATCCTCCACCAGTACTGGGCTCGCTGGGCCAGATGGAAGAATTACCAGCCGCTGGACCACATCCGAGAGTACTATGGAGAGAAGATAGCACTTTACTTTGCCTGGCTGGGTAAGCATTGGCACTGGCAGTGTCTTGTTGGCTTGAAGTAGACAGTCTGGCTTTTAGAGGAGTACTCGTCTTAGAAGCGGGTTAGCTTTTATTGGGATGACTCATGTACTGGAGGCAGCTCTGCAGAGTCGTCACCAGCTGGCACAGCCACAAAGTCATAAATCAGATTTTTTACCTAACCGTAACCCTAACTTTAAGCACACTGCTAACCCTAATGCCAAATCCTAACTTTAAATTAAGACCAAAAAGCTCATTTTTGTTTTCATGAATTTTTACATTGTAGTCAATTTTGACTTTGCGGCACACATCTAGCGGAAATCACTCAGTTCTGCCTCCAGGACAAGACTCATCCCAATAAATGTCAACCTGCGTCTTAGAATAGAATATTAAGCTTGAATATCCCATAAAGAGAAATGTGCAAATTTGCTTCACAACAAAGAACAGGCTCCTTGGCAAACAGATCATTCCAAGACTTACATCACATCAAATAACATACATCACACAACACACATCACAAGAAATTACTCTTTGTTTGCTTACTCTCTCTCTTTCTTCCATGTAGGGTTCTACACAGGCTGGCTGCTCCCAGCAGCTGTGGTCGGGACCCTGGTCTTTCTGTTTGGGATCTTGCTGATGGTCACTGATACGCCAGCGTGAGTATGACAGACGACTTCAACCAAGCGTATCCCTCCTCTTCATAAGCCTCGCCCACCATAACAAAACATTTTCGTGTTGAGGGTTCAACCAGGGTTGTGAACATTCTGTGTTTGTTTCCACACCTAAACACATGTAAGAACTAATAGTTTAACTCTGCTCAGTTGTAGGTTCAAACAGGGTTTCACTGTAAACAACTGTATTACCAAAGGTTCTAATAACGCGCTCAGTCATTTTCTGAATGTCTATCCTCTGTCCCATAGGCGGGAGATCTGTGAGAGCAGGGATGAGTTTGTCATGTGTCCTCTGTGCAACATCTGTTCCTACTGGAACCTATCCAGCATCTGCACCACCTTCAAGGTGTGTTTGTGTGCACATGCATGTGTGATGGCATGATTGATTCTACCTACTGTATGTGTTCCTATACATGTGTGATTACACACGTTTGCATGGGTTTTATTCACATCCCTTGCCTTTTTCCACATTTGTATGTGTTACAGGCTGAATTTAAAACGGATTAAATTGAGATTTTTTTTTTCACTGGCCTTCACACAATACCCCATAATGTCAAAGTAAAATTATGTTTTTAGACATTTTTTACAAATTAATATCAAATGAAAAGCTGAATTGTCTTGAATACTTATCTTGAGTCAGTAAGTATTCAATCCCTTTGTTATGGCAAGCCTAAATAGGTTCAGGAGTAAACATTTGCATAACAAGTCACATAATTTCAGTTGCATTGGCTCACTCTGTATGCAATAATAGTGTTTAACATGATTTTTGACCGACTACCTCATCTCTGTACCCCACACATACAATCATCTGTAAGGTCCCTCAGTCGAGCAGTGAATTTCAAACACAGATTCAACTACAAAGACCAGGGAGGTTTTCCAATGCCTCGCAAATAATAATTGGTAGATGTGTGAAAGATGTTTAGCAGATGTTATTGCGGGTGTAGTGAAATGCTTGTGCTTCTAGCTCCGACAGTGCAGTAATATCTAACAAGTAATATCTAACAATTTCACAACATATACCCAATATACACAAATCTAAGTAAGGAATTAATTAAGAATATATACATATATGGACAAGCGATGTCAGAGCAGCATGGACTAAGATACAGTAGAATAGTATAGAATATAGTATATACATATGAGATGAGTAATGCAAGATATGTAAACATTATTAAAGTGGCTAGTGTTCCATTTCTTAATGTGGCCAGTGATAATACATCCAGTCACTACAAAGATACAGGCATCCTTCCTAACTCAGTTGCCGGAGAGGAAGGAAACCGCTCAGGGATTTCACCATGAGGCCAACGGTGACTTTAAAACAGTTACAGAGTTTAGGGCTGTGATAAGAGAAAACTGAGGATGGAACAACATTGTAGTTACTCCACAATACTAACGTAATTGACAGAGTGAAAAGAAGAAAGCTTGTACAGAATAACAAATATTCCAAAACTTTATGTCCTGAATACAAAACGTTATGTCTGGGGCAAATCCAACACAACACATCACTACTCTTCATATTTTCAAGCATGGTGGTGGCTGCATCATGTTATGGGTATGCTTGTCATTGGGAAGGACTAAGGAGTTTTTATGATAAAAATAAACGGAATAGAGCTAAGCACAGGCAAAATACTAGGCCAAACCTATTTCAGTCTGCTTTCCAACAAACACTGTGTGACAAATTCACCTTTCAGCAGGACCTAATGCACAAGGCCAAATATACACTGGAGTTGATTACCAATACGAAATGGAATGTTCCTGAGTAGCCTAGTTACAGTTAATGCTTAAATCTACTTGACAATCTATGGCAATAATTAATAAAAGGTTGTCTAGCAATGATCCACAACCAACTTGACAGAGCTTGGATAATTTTAAAAAGAATAATGTGCAAATATTGTACAATCCAGGTGTGCAAAGCTCTTACAGACTTACCCAGAAAGACTCACAGCTGTAATTGCTGCCAAAGGTGATTCTGACATGTATTGACTCAGGGGGTTGAATACTTATCGAATAAAGATATATTAGTTTTATTTATAATAAATGTTCAAATTGTTCTTCCACTTTGACACTACAGAGTATTTTGTGTAGATTCATTATTATTATTGATCGTTGACAAAAAATGACATTGAAATCCATTTTAATCCCACTTTGTAAAAACAAAATGTGGAAAAGGTCAAGGGGTGTGAATACTTTCTGAAAGCACTGTATGTGTGCCCGCTGCCCATGCTTTTTAGTACATACTGTATGGCCATTCTCTCTTCACAGGCAGGGCTGTTATTTGACAATGGGGGGACGGTATTCTTCAGTATTTTCATGGCTCTATGGGCCGTCACTTTCCTGGAGTACTGGAAGCGCACCAGTGCAGTGCTGGCCCACCGATGGGACTGTTCAGAGTTTCAGGAAACTGAGGTACAGTACAGTATGATCACAGTGATTATATTATTTTTGGAAAGCTCAATCGATCCGAAGTTCAGGCATATAAAGTTTGTATGTGAAAACTTTCTAAGATGCACAATTTCAGATTTTCTGTCATGGAGCTTTAGGAACAAATAAGGAATGACAGATTTTGGATGTTGTTCCTGTTTAACCCTTTGTGACCCAGGAGCGCCCAAGGCCAGAGTTCACTGCCACGGCGCCCATGACCCTGCGGAACCCTGTGACGGGTGCAGAGGAGCCTCACTTCCCAAAGCGACGCCGCTTCAACCGCACCCTGACCGGAGGCATTGTCATCTTGATCATGGTAAGGTGCTGCAGGACAATGTTCTTTAATCCTGGCCCTGGGGTCCCACAAGGGTGCACATTTTTGTTCTAGCCCAGTACTAGCACTTAATTAGTCTAATAAGGTGTGCTGGGTGTGCTGGGCTTAAACAAAAGTCTGCACACACTCTGGCCCTCCAGGATTGGAGTTGCCCATCCCTGCTGTAAGAGATGACATGTGAGATAGGAAGTCAATTTATGATGACATTAATTGATGACTAATGAATTACATTATTAATCAAGAATATCCTAAAAGTCCTAACTTTATCATTGATGCATTTTTGTCTCTCACAGGTATCCGTAGTGCTGATGTTCGTTGTGGCGATCATCATTTACCGGGTGATTCTGAGCATCATCATCTACAAATCTCACAATGCCTTCTTGATATTTTCTGTGAGTCCCTTTCTAGTCCCCTACTAGATCCACTATGGTTGCATCATTCTAGTGTTATTAGACACTTTTTTTCTTTGAAATATTAGTTTTTAGCCCAAACCATTTCAGACGCTACAGACGTTTTGGTGAGAAGAAAGATTTTCGGGATGTCTCCTGCTCTGACAAACAGTGCTGTAGCTCTGCCACCTTCCACAGCAAATGCGGAAGGCCGACATCGGCGGATGCGGTGGATTGAGATGCAGCCCATACAAAAACCCAGATATCTCTAGCTGAAAGACAGATTTTGATAGGGATTTTTTTTTAATGCTAATTAGATGTCCGCGGGGGCGCGGACATTGACTCTAGATTATTTGGGTTCTAGCAGCGAAGCTGGGTGAAACCCTATTGTATTTGTTGGCGTTCATTATTATTATTCATCTTCTTCCATCAAGGACATATAACCTGCAATTTCCTGTGAAATGGTAAGGAACAAATTTGCCTCAAGGACCGATAAGGTCCGCCATGATAGATTTTCTGGCATTTAGAATTTTGTGAAAACACTTAAATTGCCACTCCTCTGGCACCGAATGACCGATATGCATGAAACTTGATATATGGCATCTATGGACCAAGGTCTCGCAACGCAATATTTTCTAGGCTAGTGTGTCAAACAGTGTGTCAAGCAATATGTTTACTAACCAATAAACATTTAAGTGGGTGTGACCTGGCACATAAAAGCATATAAATCAGACATGGATATTCAAATTCTAACAAAACTTGATACACATGTTCCAAACACTGTCAAGACTCAACATATGCGAGCATATTCAGATCGACCACATGGCGGCGCTATAATGGGCACATATTTATCTCAATCTGTTTGACTCAGAGTGATGGAAATTGGCACACATGCTAGTCTAGCAAACTTGTAGAGTATGGTTCTGTTTGGCCGCATGGTGGCGCCGTTAAAAAGGAAAACCCATTCATACAAGCTCATTGGCTTATAGCGGCCATGTTGTTTGAGCTAGAGTCTTAGAAAATATAGCGTTTTAAGACGCGGATGCTATATACCAAGTTTGGTGCCGATCGGTCCAGTGGTTCTGGAGAAGAAGACGTGTAGCCCTTTTGTGCAGTCAAATGACAAAATCGCCTTCTAGTGGCCTCATGGGTGGAATGTTATTAATATTGTTCATAATTTCATAATTAATACATATTATTTATTTATTTTATGCCAAAAAAATCCCGTGTTTTTATGTCAAACGGTTTTGTTATGTTTCAGTCTTCTGTGATGTATATAAAGTGTAATATTGGGATGCAAACTGAAAATGTAAAACATTTCAATTCTATAGCTGACATGGTACTTTTTTTAAACCCAATAACCATGTGTGTGAGGTGTATACTTTTGTTTCAAAGTAGATTTGTTTAAGACCAAGAAACACTCTTTGTGACACTGATTTAGCCCATTCAGTAAAAAGTTAAAGAAGTCAACATCATCAAAAATGGTCAAAGATACATCAAAACCATATTGCATGATCTGTTTGAGTTAATATATTTGTCAAGCGTGGTAGCTCATCCTATGGTGATGTGTCCAATTTTGTCCTGATGGTGGCGCTGTGGGGTCAAAGCTTGAACCCCGGCATGACTGCTTGCAGCTCTATATATATATATATATATATATATATATATATATATATATATATATATATATATATATTATATATATATTTTTTTATCATATTAATTTAATCATAATAGTACTGTACCTATCTCGGCAGGCTGGGCGGATCGCCAGTCTCACAGGGTCCGTGCTGAACCTGCTGGTGATCCTCATGCTCTCCCGGGTCTACATCTACCTGGCCCATGTCCTAACGCGCTGGGGTGAGTCAGCAAGTCCGGCCCTCGTCTATCGTCGGGCAGATGGAAGATAAATCAGTGATTTATTGGCCAATGTTTGCTCATTCTATTTGCTTTGTGATGTCACCAGAGATGCACCGCACACAGACCAAATACGAGGATATGTTTATTCTCAAGGTCTTCATCTTCCAGTTTGTCAACTTCTACTCCTCCCCGGTCTACATTGCCTTTTTCAAAGGAAGGTGAGTAGATCAAACAACGTCAAGGCACAAATGAGCCTTAAGTATTGAAAGGTCCTGTATTTACCAGCTGGTTAAATAGGCCCTCGCAGTACAATGACAATATGGCTCATCCTCAGTGAACTCCTATGTTTTGCAGGTTTGTTGGTTACCCTGGCAACTACTACAAGCTCTTGGGAATACGGAATGAGGACGTGAGTGTCGTACTTACATACTAAAATGTACTTAAAAACATCCCAGCAAACAATTTCTGGTTAGCGTTGCATTCCCAGAATGTTACATGGCTATAATGTTTTCGCCATGAAGGTTTGGTTAACACATTGTAGAAGCATCAAAAACAAACATTTGGAACATTTCTCCAAATGTTCCTATAACCATTATTGTATGTCCTTCTACTAATGTTGATCAAATAACCTTTGTTGTTATTTTTATTTAACCTTTGTTTTGACAGGGAAGACATATTGAAGACACAACTTTTCCAAATGCGCCCTGAATAATATAATATGAAATACACATAAAAAATTTGGAAAGTATTCAGACCCCTTGACTTTTCCACATTTTGTTACGTTACAGCCTTATTCTAAAATTGATTAAATACCCCATATTGACAAAGCAAAAACAGGTTTTTCAAAATGTTAACAAAAAACATCAACAACAACAACAAAAAATATCAAATTTACATAAGTATTCAGACCATATGCTCAGTACTTTGTTTAAGCACCTTTGGCAGCGATTACAGCTTCGAGTCTTCTTGGGTATGACGCTACAATGCTTGGCACACCTGTATTTGGGGAGTTTCTCCCATTCTTCTCTGCCTGATATGCGAGGGAGCCCAAGAGGTATGGGCCTGTGGTAGAGACCCCTGAGTTGGACCCTCAGGAGACAGGGTAGAGGTTGAAGGAGCAGGAACCTCTAGAAGCAGGTGGGCGAAACTGTTGATCAACACGATGGGATCCCCCAAAGCCATTTCAGCCCCATTCACCAAAGACCGCTGCCTTGCGCTGGGCTTACGGTGTATGACGTGCCTCCATGGGAAGCAGGATCTATAACTGTGGTATCCGCCAGCTCCTCATAAAGCGTCCTTGCTCCTTTATTCTCCAAGGGGGGCCGGGATAGGAGGTCAGGGTAGGATGGGAAGGGTGGGTGAGATGGGAGAGGAGAGTTGACTTCACTGGGGAGGGGTCTCTGCAGGGCAGCCCTGGCCAGCCAGTCAGAGAGTGGCAACACGGTGGCGAGGCAGTGGCACAACGACTGGGCTGAGGAGTAGAAAAGGAAAAGGTCTTAGAGCGGGACCAATCCAGGATACATTACATTGTCTCAATTTGCTTACTTTGGACGTCCAGCACAGACATACACTATATATACAAAAGTATGTGGACACCCCTTCAAATTAGTGGATTTGGCTATTTCAGCCAGACCCATTGCTGACAGGTGTATAAAATCGAGCACACAGCCATGCAATCTCCATAGACAAACATTGGCAGTAGAATGGCCTTACTGAAGAGCTCAGTGACTTTCAAAGTGGCACCATCATAGGATGCCACCTTTCCAACCAGTCAGTTCGTCAAATTTCTGCCCTGTCAGAGCTGCCCCAGTCAACTGTAAGTGCTGTTATTGTGAAGTGTAAACGTCTAGGAGCAACAACGGTTCAGCCGCCGAAGTGGTAGGCCACACAAGCTCACAGAACGGGACCGCCGAGAGCTGAAGCGCGTAGCGCATAAAAATCTTCTGTCCTCGGTTGCAACACTCACTACTGAGTTCCAAACTGCCTCTGGAAGCAATGTCAGCACAAGTACTGTTCGTCTGGAGCTTCATGAAATAGGTTTCCATGGCCAAGCAGCCACACACAAGCCTAAGATCACCATGTGCAATGCCAAGCGTCGGCTGGAGTGGTTTAAAGCTCACCACAATTGGACTCTGGAGCAGTGGAAACGCATTCTCTAGAGTGATGAATCACGCTTCACCATGTGGCAGTCCGACGGACGAATCTGGGTTTGGCAGATGCCAGGAGAATGCTACCTGCCCCAATGCAGAGTGCTAACTGTAAAGTTTGGTGTAGGAGGTATAATGGTCTGGGGCTGTTTTTCATGGTTCGGGCTAGGCCCCTTAGTTCCAGTGAAGGGAAATCTTAACACTACAGCATACAATGACATTCTAGACGATTCTGTGGTTCCAACTTTGTGGCAACAGTTTTGGGAACGCCCTTTCCTGTTTCAGCATCACAAAGCGAGGTCCATACAGAAATGGTTTGTCGAGATCGGTGTGGAAGAACTTGACTGGCCTGCACAGAGCCCTGACCCCATTGAACACCTTTGGGATGAATTGGAACGCTGACTGCGAGCCAGGCCTAATTGCCCAATATCAGTGTCCACATACTTTTGGTAATGTAGTGTATAGTCCTCAATAAGCTGACAGTTTCCACATTGGAAATTTGTCCAGCCAATATTATCTCGGAACTGTGCAAAATATACTGAACAAAAATATAAACGCAACATGTAAAGAGTTGGTCCCATGTTTCATGAGCTGAAATAAAAGATCCATACGCACAAAAAGCTTATTTGTCTAAAATTGTTTGTATATATTTGTTTACATCGCTGTTAGTGAGCATTTCTTCTTTGCCAAGATAATCCATCCACCTGACAGGTGTGGCATAACAAGAAGTTGATTAAACAGCATGATCATTACACAGGTGCACCTTGTGCTGGGGACAATAAAAGGCCACTCTAAACTGTGCAGTTTTGTCACACAACACAGTGCCACAGATGTCTCAACTTTTAAGGGAGCGTACATTTGGCATGCTGACTGCAGGAATGTCCACCAGAGCTGTTGCCAGAGAATTGTATGTTAATTTCTCTAAGATAAGCCGCCTCCAACGTCGTTTTAGAGAATTTGGCAGTACGTCCAACCAGCCTCACAACCGCAAACCATGTGTAACCATGCCAGCCCAGGACCTCCACATCCGGCTTCTTCACCTGCGGGATCATCTGAGACCAGTCACCTGGACAGCTGCACAAATTGTCAGAAATTGTCTCAGAGAAGCTCATCTGCATGCTCGTCGTCCTCACCAGGGTCTTGACCTGACTGCAGTTCGGCATTGTAACTGACTTCAGTGGGAAAATGCTCACCTTCGATGGCCACTGGCACGCTGGAGAAGTGCGCTCTTCACGGATGAATCCCGGTTTCAACTGTACTGGGAAGATGGCAGAAAGCGTGTATGGCATCGTATGGGCAAGCGGTTTGCTGATGTCAACGTTGTGAACAGAGTGCCCCATGGTGGCGGTGGGGTTATGGTATGGGCAGGCATAAGCTACAGACACAATTGCATTTTATTGATGGCAATTTGAATGCACAGAGACACCGTGATGAGATTCTGAGGACCAATGTCGTGCCATTCATCCGCCGCCATCACCTCATGTTTCAGCATGACAACCAAGGCACAAAACTGGCCAACATAACAACAGAAAGCAGAGAGGGGTGACTTACTAAATGAGATTAAATGCTGGGGCCCATCAAAACAGCAACGCCAGTATGATAGCCAGGAGAGAAGCACCTTGGAGGGGATGTAGTTTCCAGTACAGGCTGGTGGAAAGCTGGGAGGGTGGCAAGCGCTACACCGAGCCGCGGGAGAGTCCAAAAGAGTACATCCAAGTGGAGTTCAAGTTTGGCAGTAGTCCAAAAACATCCAAGGCACAATGTCAAGTGGAAGGATGAAAGCAGCAGTAGGCAGGTGTCTGCTCAGATAATGCCCCAGTGCAGGCCTCACTCCAGGGTAGGGTGCCCAGGCATATCCAAGTAGGCCTCAAGAGTTTCATAGACCTGTTTTGTATGGGATACTGCCATGCTAACATTAGCTAGAAACCAAAGAGGGACTCAATTGGAATGTTACCTGTAGGAATGTTCACTGTTTGCTGGGATGTACCTTTGCTGTCTTTATCAGCCAGTATATGTGTTTGTGTGTGCGAGTGTCTGACTACGCCTGTGTGCGTGTGCATAACCTGTAAGTGTGTATTGTTGTTTGCAGTGTGGTGCTGGGGGCTGTCTCATTGAACTGGCCCAGGAGCTGCTGGTCATCATGGTGGGCAAACAGGTCATCAACAACATTCAGGAGTTTATTGTCCCGTGAGTCTTGTAATCCTACAGCTTCCCGCAGTTTTGTCTAAAATCCAATCCGACTTTATTTAAACTCCATTGATTTACAACAAACATCTCACAAAAATGCTAATGTGATCCTTGATGAATGACCACCCTCTGGGCAAAAACTGGTTGAATCAATGTTGTTTCCACGTCATTTCAACAAGAAAATTCAATGTGATGACGCTGAATCAACGTGGAAAACTGATTGGATTTGAAAAAAAGTCGTCAACGTAATGGAATTGTCTTTTTTTTTACTCAACTTTTAACCTAAATCCAGTGACATGGTTCCATTTTTTGTTGATTTCATGTTGAATTAATGTTAGTTGACAAATCAACCAAATGTAAATCAAAACAAGATGTTGAACTGACGTCTGTGCCCAGTGGGCAGTAAGTTCTTATAATTGTCTTTCTTGCCCACAGAAAGGACCTATGCACTGCTTCTGTGGTTGTTAAGGTCAAATCTCTCTCCTTTCGTCTCTTAATAGAAAACTAAAGTCTTGGTGGCAGAAGCGCAAGATCCATCCTATGGTTAGAGCTGAAGATGGAGAGGTGAAAGAGGGAGGCCAGATGCAGGACGCCACACCCTGGGAGACCGACTATGAGCTCCTGCTGTGTGAAGGACTGTTCGATGAGTACCTGGAAATGGGTGAGTGTTCCTGCCCACCTATACCAGGGCTGTGTTCATTAGGGCACACAACATTTTAAAACAATTTTAAATGGAAAATGTAATTGTGCATTTCTTATTGGATAAGGAATTACTCTTGTGGTTTGTGTTACTCTTGTAAAAGTGAAGTTGTCTGGGTAACTGGCTAGGACACCAAGGGCGACATTTTCCTCTAGTAATGACACGCACTGGGAACAAACTAACCCTAACATTTGAAATAGACAGGAGTCTGTGTGCCATCAAGCCAGTGATGGAGAAACACAACTGAAACCCCTAGGTCTTGACAATCTGATTTTATTAAGCCATTGAGGAGAACTAGCGACACACACTCTTACTGCTCTACTTCACACGTGATCCCTAGTCAATGTAACTGTCACCTCATCCCAAAGATGAATGTGCCATGTAGGTCATAGACATTGCTGTGCAGAACCTACCCAGTCAGACTGTGTAATCCATGACCCAAATTAATTTATTCACATGCTCTGGAAGATAACACACTCAAAAAACTCCTATACAGAATAATATACACTGAGTGTACAAAATATTAAGAAGATCTTCCTAATATTGAGTTGCACCCCTCCCCTGTTTTTCTTCATGGTGATGGAAAGTCTACAGGTACAAACCTAGATGTACAACACAGTAATGTACATTTACATTAAGTGGTTTGTAAGGATGGTAAATTAATACTGAACAAAAGTGGTTGTTTTCCATATTAATTGATCAAGAAATATATTTAATTTGATGTGGCTGTTTTGTGTCTTTGCCCATAACTTTACACGTTTTGATGTAAATGTTTGAGTGTAGGGTTTTGTTGTTTCTAGATTCCATTAGAATGACAATCGCAGAGAAAGGGACATGGCAACAACTCTTACAATTCCAAGTATTAAAAAATCCTGCAAGATACTGTTCTTAATTATACATCTACTTTTTTTGCAAAGCTGAGACGCTGAAAACATTTCCCCCCCACGCTACGGTCCGCTAATACTAGTAAAGGCCCAGTGCACAATTTTTTTTGATTTTTAGTAATATAAAAATAATATTATATATATTAGGATTTTTCAGGGGGTGCTGCAGCACCCTCAGCACCCCTATTTCCCTTGGGTATGCAAACAGGATGCATGTTTTGGAATGTTTTTATTCTGTACAGGCTTCCTTTTCACTCTGTCAATTAGGTTAGTGTTGTGGAATAACTACAAAGTTGTTGATCCATCCTCAGTTGTCTCCTATTACAGCCATTCAACTCTGTAACTGTTTTAAAGTCTCATGGTGAAATCCCTCAGCGGTTTCCTTCCTATCCGGCAACTGAGTTGGGAAGGACGCCTTTATCTTTGTAGTGACTGGGTGTATTGATACACCATCCAAAGTGAAATTCACTGCTCGACTGAGGGACCTTACAGATAATTGTATGTGTGGGGTACAGAAATCATGTTAAACACTATTATTGCAGACAGAGTGAGTCCATGCAACTTATTATTTGACTTGCTAAGCACATTTATACTCCTGAACTTATTTAGGCTTGCCATAACAAAGGGGTTGAATACTTATTGACTCCAAACATTTCAGCTTTTCATTTTTAATTAATTTGTAAAAATTTAAAAACACATAATTCCACTTTGACATTATGGGGTATTGTGTGTAGGCCAGTGACAAACAATCTTAATTTAATAAATTTTATATTCAGGCTGTAACACAACAAAATGTGGAAAAAGTCAAGGGGTGTGAATGCTTTCTGTAGGCACTGTATTCTGCTAATCAATAATTTAATTGTTGCTTATTATTATTAGTCTAGTCACTAGGCGTGGAATTTAACGGAATTGGCTTGACACTTGGAAAAGGGTAAAATGGAAATGTACATGGCTACATGGATCAGATTACAGATGCATTTACACAACACACCACAACACAAGCAGAAGGTAACTGCTGACTGCCCCCCTCCTCTTTGCAGTGTTGCAGTTTGGCTTCATTACCATCTTTGTGGCAGCGTGTCCCCTTGCCCCGTTGTTTGCCCTGATCAATAACTGGGTGGAGGTGCGTCTGGACGCGCAGAAGTTTGTGTGCCAGTACAGAAGGCCCGTAGTGGAGCGGGCTCAGGACATCGGGATCTGGTTGGACATCCTGCAAGTCATCACCTACGTGGCTGTCATTAGTAATGTAAGTGTATGTGTGTGTGTGTCTTTGTACTTGCGTGTGGTGTTATAAGTATGCCTGGTTTAATGCAGACTCCTGCCTCTCTGCCAGGCCTTCCTGATAGCTTTCACTTCTGACTTCCTGCCTCGGCTCTACTACCGCTACCACAATGATGGAAACCTTCGGGGTTATGTCAACTTCACCCTGGGTACTTCCCCAAGCAACTTTAACACCAACAACATGCAGTGCAGGTAGAGGCACACTCATTATCACCCATAAATTGATATATGCATTTCGTGAAGGTTATTCTTTTTTTGTTCCTATTACTCTACAACTGGCATTGTCATCTAACGTTTCTTTGTTGTTGTTTTTTTAGATATCGAGGATACAGGGACAGAAAAGGGCATTTTCGACCAGAGTACTTCCACCTTCTGGCTTGCCGGCTGGCCTTTGTCATTGTTTTTGAGGCAAGTTCCGCTGAGTTGAGTTGAGATATGTCACTATGTGGATGACTTTTGCAACACAGATTCAATGCAATTAATTGACTAATTCAGTGTTTATAGGTCTATATGTATTTCTGTTAAGGAGCTGTTAGGAGCTGAGGCATCTTGGAGAATTGAAATTGAGATGCGCGCTGTGAGTGACTTGTCGTGTGCTTTGAGAATGTGTGCACTGCCACTGACTGGTTTAAAACCGAATGGTGTTTTGTTTTTATATTCTGGTGTTTCATTTTGGTGTTTTATTTTTATACTCTGGTCTCAGAGTATTGGCTAGTCAACACACTGCGTCTGAGTAGCCTTACAGGCTTGTTACAATATTCATAGAAGCACAGTTCCCGCTCAGCTCAGTCAAAGCTATTCGCTGCTCTGGCACCCCAATGGTGGAACAAGCTCCCCCACGACGCCAGGACAGCGGAGTCACTAACCACCTTCCGGAGACACTTGAAACCCTACCTCTTTAAGGAATACCTGGAATAGTATAACAGTAATCCTTCTACCCCCCCACCCCCCCCCCCCCCCCCCCCCCCATTAAAAAATGAAAAAATAAATATACAGCATGTAAAAATATGAGGAAGAAAACAAAGAAAAATATATAAAATTCTATAAAATACCAAAAAATGTAAAACCCAACTAGACTAAAAAAAAAATAGGGTGGTTGTACAACTGGCTATCATAAGTTGAATGCACCAATTTGTAAGTCGCTCTGGATAAGAGCGTCTGCTAAATGACTTAAATGTAAATAATCAATGTTCCCTCAAAAACAATTAGGCACTGAGCATATTTCAGGTCTGCTGAGCACAAGCTTGAACGTTGTGAAAATTCTGTGCAACTTCCAGCGAGCGTTTACTGTGAACACTGAGACTGTACCCGCTTTAAGTTACAGTTCTAGCAGTGTCTAAGTAGGCTACTGTGGCTATTTGATAATAATGTAGGCCTATCAGAGTGGCCTACCATCAAAAACAATGGAGAAAATGCATCCCATAACATTTTAACATGGAAATAGCTGCTCTATCATTCTGCCTACAGTAGCAGCCAATGTCTGGTGTTCAATGTATGCCAACATTCCATGAGGCTTTTGAAAAAAACATGCAGGGCTTGACATTAACCTGTTTATCCACTTGTCCTTCAGACAAGGAGGTGACTGAAAATGTTGTTGTGTTGTTTGATGCAAGAAACCACTTTACAAAATAATTACAGAGAATCAGACAAATTATGCTACCCTCTGCCTATTGGCTACTTAGCTTATTCAAGCCTGTCTCAAAATACAACACTGCCCCTTTAAGACAAAAAAAGCTCTTTACTCAACTCGCTTTTTAAAGATGTCTATAAAAATGTACACATTTTGTGCTCTTGTAGGAAGCAATCACTCCCCTATTGCTGACTACAAATGATCTATAACTGGGCTAATAACTCACCAACTAGCAAAGGATATTAACAAAATGTGCACACGTGGCTACATGCAGCTCTCGCTTTGATCTCAAAACAAGCGCATCTACTCACGACCGCTCATGCTGTAAACACAGTCCAGTTCAAAGTAAATGGCACAGGTCCATATATGGCAATGGTCTGATTCGATCACAATTGCCAGAGTAAAGGGAAACGTTGATAGTGTTAACAGGGAAAACTCTAGAACAGTGTCACCAACCTTTTCTGAGTCAAGATCACATTCTGAGTCAAAATACAAGCCGAGATCTACCGCTCAGATAAAAAAGAAAAAAGAAAAAAAAAAGTACGCCTATGCAACATTAACCAATTAAAAACAGGACTGTAGCAATGAGGTTTGTGCAGTAAGCTATAAGTCCAATACATTTTCGCCGAATATTGGCTTTGCTTGAATTGCCCTGCCAATGCATTGTTGTTGGGCCATTTAAAAAAAAAAGTTTTTCTACATTTAAGGTAGGCTATATGATCACACCGGTAATAGATCCGTTGTTGTATTCCTTGTGAAGCACAGGTGAGTGAGCATACATTTAAATAATAATTTGCTTTTTATTTTTATTTTACTGGGCTGATGGGTGCCTGCATCTGATGGTCAGTCTCAGCAGAGGGAGAGAGCAGCAGACTGAGGGTCCGCCTCTCAACATCTCTCCGCTCTCCCTTTCCTCCACTGACACTGACCAAAAAGAGACACAGTCTTCCAGCTGATGGCGAAACTCGAGTTGCACTACATTATTTCTGCCTCATGCACAAATACTCATATGAACTGAGAAAGTTAAATATTCTTTGATATTAAAAAAGACCCAAGCCGCTAATAATAACAACAACGCAAGCCTATCGATACACTTTCCTACTCATTCATTACTGCTGCAGTGCTTGTTGCAGCGCTGAGTGGAAATAGGAAGAACGCGCATTTTATGGCTTATAAAAGTGTTGAATACAAAGTGTTGACAGTGCTGAGTAAGAACATGAACTCACTCATAAAAACAGCAGCTCTTTGCTGTATTCGTTGACAGTCTCTCTCTAGTCATGGTTTTAAGCGTTTTGAAATCTCTCAGTATCAACTTTGCTGTAGCTTTCTTTTATGCCTTCTACTTTACTGCAGACACAGTAATCTGAGCCTTCCGATTGGCCAGCGGTAGGCCTATAGTGCACTTGATTTGCTCTCCGGGCCTGCCGGGAAGGCAGAATTTGTACCTTCAGACACATGAAATGGTTCAAAATGGCAACAGTTCGCCGACCCGTCGCGCAGGGCAGCTGAAACAGGTGCACCTACCGCCAACAGCCCGAAACGAATAACAAATTATTGGAACACATCGTTGTTTTTTTTACAGAAATCTTTGGCGATAGACTAGGAATGCCTTAGAGATCGACCAGTCGATCGCGATAGACCGGTTGATGACCACTGCTCTAGAAAGTTGAGTGAAGTAAAATCTTGCGCTTCTCTCCATGGGCTGATATTTATTCTGTGCAGCAGTCCTGGGGAGCTGTGCTGCAGTCTCTGGGGCTTAGAGGGAACATTGTTTATAATAATCCATCTTCTCTCTCTCTCTTTTTTCCTTTTCTTTTTCCTCAGCATGTTGTGTTCTTCATCGGTCGTTTGATTGACATCATGGTCCCTGATATTCCTGAGGATGTGGAGATCAAAATTAAGAGGGAGCACTACATGGCCAAGGAGGCCCTGGCTGAGAACCAGGTGAGAACCCCTGTACCTCTTTCTAGATACCCGTCAATCAATCAATCAACCAACTGATTAACCAATCAATCAAATCTCTATATTATTCACAGCCCCAGCTGAGTCTTCTACAGATTAGATAGTGTATTTTCTTCCTAATTATCAATCATAGAAACCACTTTACTTTACACACAATTTCTACACACCACAACATAAAAGTTAAAAGCATGCCTTGCAGTAGCGGCCGCTGATTGGCTGGTGATTTTGATTGATTGATGAAGGGATATAACAACAAGCACAGACGCATAAATTTAAAACGAAGTATCTTACTGGGGATAGCTAGTGTACATCACAAAGTAGGATGAGCTGGCTAGCCGGTTTACTTTCCTAAATATTCAGAAATATTAGCTCAGATAGAACTGGGCATGCTACTAGCTCTAGCTAGCTTACTCTAGCTTATCAATGGTTTAAAAAGAAGGAACGGTCAGATGCGTCATAATAGAACTAAAGCCGCACTGTGAGCCAGATTTGAAACGGAATGACATTGAAAACAATGGAGCAGGGTCTTTTTAAATTCCTTGACTGATGCATGCTCAATTTTCCGTCCCGACTCCCAGTCGTAAGCCCCAAGAAGCTCTATAACCATCCGTGAGCAAGCATTTGAAGAAAGAAAGTGTAGACACTTGGTCGGTCAGAATGAGAAACCCCTTACCAATGACATTAAAATAGTGGCGGGACTGAAGTTGTGTGGACCAATAAGGTGACAGGTCATGTGGCGCAAGCATCAGAAAAAGAAACAAGGGGTCTGACATCACTGTACAGCACGGAGACCACTCAAATCAAATTGTTTTTATCACATGCTTCGTAGACAGGTGTAGACTAACAGTGAAATGCTTACTTACTTTTTCCAACAATGCAGAGTTAAAGATAAGATTAAAAATTACATAAAAAATGTAAATATTGGCACAGCGAGTCAGGCTGCTCAGGACAGCCCGATTGATTACACATGGTATTCAAAGTTGAGGTCACGGGCTAATTGTAGTGGGGCCACCACATTTATATAAAAAATATATTTTTATTAAGAGTATAAATGATTGGCCTCCCAAGTGGTGCAGCGGTCTAAGGCACTGCATCACAGTGTTTGAGGCGTCACTACAGACCCGGGTTCGATCCCAGGCTGTGTCACAACCGGCCGTGACCGGGAGTCCCATAGGGCGGCGCACAATTGGCCCAGCGTTGTTCGGGGCGGGGTTGCAGCGATGAGATGATCAAAATGGGGGGTAAAAAAGAGTACGGATGGGACAACATACAAACTTTTTTGAGAAAGATCATGTACATTTTTTTTTTTTTTAGTATACTTAGTTATCTTAATTTTGATAAGACAGATGAAAATGTAATAAATTAAATGTTGTTTGTTGATGTAAAAACTGAAATTGACTGATTTGAAGGTTGTGTCGTTAGATTTTGGTGGAGTCGCAGGAATTTCAGGCACATTTTTTTTACTAACTGCTGAAAAAGTTTGAATATTTTGGAACCTTAAATCTAGTGGGGCTTCGCCCCTAACTCCATATTGGTTGAGCCGTGACTGGGCTGTTGAACAGTGTGGCATAGGACATAATGTGGGCTACAATACATTCACATCTGGTCCCTGAGACATATGCCACGTTCACATGCTAGTGGGAACTAGGAAACTCAGAAATGTCCGTCTTGCTAATTGGTTGTAGTTAGACACGAGCCGCGTTCAACCAGTTAGCAAGTCAGAAATGTCAGAGTTCCGACTAGCACTATGTCTCAGGGACTAGATGTGAATGTGTGTTCCCTTTCCACCGTTTTTTGTATTGTATTATTATGTTGTATTATAGTGCATTGGTTGTGTATTTTGTATGCTAAACTCACTAAATGAATTTCCACGTAAATCAAGTTATTGTGTCATATGGTATGAAAAAAATCCAAAGCTAACTTTCCAGAGTCAATTAATCCACCCTTTGCTTTCTTTTTGTTTCACACCCTGTATGCTGCAGGCTTTGGGTAAGGTTGTTGTCCTAGATGAGAAGGAGAATCTGTCCACTGAGCTGCGACGCAGACCCAAACCTCAAACTTCCACAGCGTCTCCACCACGGGAGAGCGACTCACCACCACCCTTACTGAACCCAATCCAAGAGGACCCAGACAGACCACTGCTCTGACCCCTGACCTCCCCAGGGGTCGTTTGGGCGCCAGCTCAAGGTCACATGATGGTGTGATGAGCTTTATTTTTCAGCGCTGTGTTTCCAACAATCTTCAGTGACATGGACAGGTACAGTCATGACTGTAAGACTGAAGGAGAGAGCAAATAACAAGACTAATCCTTTCTTAGGACTGACTGCAGTGAGATTATGAGGCTTTGCATTGTGCTTACCGTACCCATATTGAGCAGCAGTATTTTCCCCCCACTCTGACCATGCTCATGATGGCGCCATCCCACTTCTGACACCAATGCATCAAATTTGTGGACTACTAGAGAACTCTGACTTTCATATGAGACGTTAAATGGGTGTCCTGACTCTGTGGTCATAAACAATTCCATGGCACTTATCATAAGAGTAGGGGTGATAACCCCGGTGTCTTGGCCAAATTCTCAACCTGGCCCAATTCAATTATCCCCCTGATTCCCAATTGGCATATATCACTCCTCACCTCTCCACCGTGATAGCTGATGTGTGGTGAGTGTTCTGACACAAAATGGTTGCTGTGCATCACCCAAGTGGGTGCAAAACATTGGTGGTGGAAGAGGTGAGTTTCCCCCTTACTATGTAAGCACTATATAAATCCAATCAATCAATTACTACTAGGGAAATGTGTCTCTTTCGGTGTAGCTGCTCAGCCCTTAACTGACTTTAGCCCTTAAATTACTTATTTAGGTTGGCAGTGAACTTACTTCATCTTCCAGGAATTATAGTCTTCCTGTTCGGCAAATTGTTATATCCTGTATGAGGTAACTAATATTTACTCCAGTTAATAAGTCAAGGCGTTCGTGTGAACTGGTTGACCCATTGAATAACAACAAGAAACTGTGGACCCAAAGGCTCTCAAGGATCAGTGTAAGAAATATAAGTTCATGTGAAGAAGACCTTGGATGGGCCTATGCAGATAAAAACAGCTTCACCTAGAGCTGCAACAGCATGGCCATTTTCTAGTTGAATTTTTTTTTACAGATAGCCACTCCAACATTCAGACACCATTTACAAACGAAGCATGTGTTTAGTGAGTCTGCCAGATCAGAGGCAGTAGGGATGACCAGGGATGTTCTCTTGATAAGTTTGTGAATTCTACCATTTTCCTGTCCCGCTAAGCATTCAAAATGTAACGAGTACTTTTGGGTGTCAGGGAAAATGTATGGAGTAAAAAGTACATAATTTGCTTTAGGAATGTAGTGAAGTAAAAGTAAAAGTTGTCAAAAATATGAATAGTAAAGTACAGATACCCAAAATAAACTAAGTAGTACTTTACAGTATTTTTACTGAAGTACTATACACCACTGGCCAGCACAATCAATAAACGAGGGATGTTGGCCAAATCAGCCAAATTTACGTGTCCTTAAAAATAGCTATAACAAATTACAAAAACACTATTCCTTGTGTTTCGATGTGTAGCATACAGTGCATTCGGAAAGTATTCAGACCCCTTCCCTTTTTCCACATTTTGTTACGTTACAGCCTTATTCTAAAATGTATTAAATCAATGTTTTTCCTCATTAATCTACACACAATCTACATACCTTATTTACATAAGTATTCAGACCCTTTGCTATGAGACTCGAAATTGAGCTCAGGTGCATCCTGTTTCTATTGCTCATTCTTGAGATGTTTCTACAACTCCCGCAGGTGACCGGAGTATGGGCGGGTGGGTGTGTCGAAAGGAATGGGTGTGTGGAAAGGAGTGGGTGTGTCGAAAGCGCTCTGCTATAGGTGTTACAAATGCACAGAGACTTGTGCAATTAAACTGAACTACTTTACTTCAGATCAACATGTTAATAACTCGTATAAAACTCACTCATCCAATCCTCACACCTCTTACACGCACAATGTGCCTGATACATTCTTAAAGCAACAGTATTCAAAACTCAACTGAGCTACGACACCATATAACTGAACACAACATTTCCTCCCCCCAACCCTCCCCGCTCTAGTTCACATAGTCTTTAAGCCACGAGAGAGGAGCTATGACCCGTTGGGGTCTCCCAGTGTTCAGAGGTGCGGCTGGTGGCAGGGGAACTGCAGGCATTTGAGGCCTGACTGGTGGAAGGGCTCTGAACTGAGCCTGGTGTAGGGGTGGAGGTGCGTGAGCCCCTTGACCTTGCTCCTGCCCATGGTGAGTTGTGGACAGATCCCCCACAGGCGAATGGACCTTTCTGAGGCGATTTGCATGCCAGCGGGATCCATCCTGATGT